CTAAATAAATACTGATGCAATTCCATGACAGAAATACAATCACATTTTCTACAACTTGTTAGTAACATAACAAGGAAAATTTGCAAGAACATAAAAAAAAAATTAAAACTCTTATTCCTGGCGAGTCACAAATGCAACTAACACGAAAAAAAATCTGAAAGCTTTCAGATTTTACATTACGCCCAAAGCTTCTTTTTTTAACCCTTTCCGGCACGCTACCTTTTAAAGTTGGAATTTCGATAAAAAGAAAAAAAAAAAAAAGGTAAGCAGTTTAATTAGGCCTAAAGGAGTACACAAGGGGAATTTTGTAAACATAGCACTTATCGTTTTAATTCTGTGGGTGTACCCGAAGCGGGCACACTGATTCAATATGGCTTAGAAAAGAGTGCTGAAACGAGCATTGCTGGAAAGCGCGTAAAAGAGTAAGAGATTTTGCCTACGGTTAAAAAACATTAGATTCTGAATACCATAGCAGATTTAGCATTACCCAGGGCATGCCACGGGGAGATCTGCTACCGTAGAACCCTCTAAAAAGCTTATTTTGGGTTATATGATAATCATATGCTTATGAATGGAAAAAAATTTTTTTGGATATTTACATTATTTACATTTATTTACACTTTAGTCTAATCTTTTCATCGTGGTACTTTTCGAAGAAAGTGACACCACCTTTGAAAACGCATAACACAATATTGCATGTTTTGCACATGTGCTGAGATCCGTATCAGATTCACTATCTGAAAGGAATTCATATAGCACTTTCAGTGCATTAGAAATGGTCAGCCCTCTCCGATCCGTTTGGAAAATAATTAAAAATCCGACAGAATAAACTAATATTATATCTACAATTTGAAATTATAAACTATAAAATAAAAATATAAATGTCTACAACTCAAAACTATTAAACGTATCGCTAAGAAAACTTCTTTGAACCAAAGCAAAAGAGGAAAAGAGAACTGCTCTAGTGAAAACCAAACAGCTAACTGATAAAATTACGCCTGACCTTTAGAAAATCACCCTAACAATTTCTTAGTTGATAACCAAACCTCCCCTCCAAAAAAAAGGAAAGGAAGAAAGAGAAAAACAGGAAACGAAATGTAAAAAAAAACAGGAAATGAACACAGATGTGGATTCACCTTTCTGTGTTAATGAGTTAACCAATGAGCTGCCTCTTAGTGACCTAGACTCGCAGTGAGCCCAGTGTGGGAACACCTCTGTTCGCCGTTCGATTTTAGGCAAGATTTCAAGGTAAATATTTAAAACTAATATAGAATAAAGAGACTCGCATACAGCCAAAAAACTAATCTAGAAATTTCCTGTCAAACAATTCCTTTTATACCCTAAAAAAATCTAGAAGATTCCTTTGAAAAATGAGGGTCTTAAAAAACTAAACATGGCTAAAATATATGGACTGGTTTGTGTTGATTTGTCAACACGTAAATAAAGAAGGTTCAGAGTAACCTAGAGTAACTTCAATCTTTTTATTCATTTTCTGTGCACACCATCGGCCGAGCGTAAAGAGCTGAACCTGTAGTTCGGTCCGAGGTTCGAATCCCGCGAACTGGGGCATGGCGTTTTCGTGGGGTCCCATGTGTAAGTTATACGAGCGTTTTCCTTAGAACGTCCTCCACGAAGGCCCTTTAGGCAGTAGCCCTCGTGTGCTTTGCCATGCTTTCAATAATCCATCAATTTTCTGTGCGTCATTCAGTGTTTTCTTCAGTTCTTTTGCGGCACGGTGTGCCCAGACCGCAAAAGGTTAATGCTCTGTGTGTTACATTTATTTGTTAAATATCATGTTATTCGTTTTTTAATATGAAAATTCGATTCGGCAATATCGCAAAGTAATTTTAAAATGAGCATATCTTTAGAATTTCCAATACACAGTCCCGCGCGCTGGAGAAAAAATTTTTTTTTTTTTTTTTTCGTACAGTGTTGCCATTGCTCGCTTTGTAATCGTTCAGTTTGTTGATCAAAAAATCGTTTAAGTGTTACAAAATATGAAATCGATAATAAAACAATTCCAAATTTGGGCTTCCAGATGCGCATATTCGGACGGGGGTTACGTTATTCAAAATTGGATGGCTCTAGGTACCTTTGTTTAATCACAATGCGAGAAACATACATACATATATGCAGATTCTTAATTATTTAATTTCTGTAAATATAACAAAGGGCGATAACATTTGGTGGCAACAGTCTGAAAAGTGGCACAGACATTTACAATGAATCAATGCAAAATGCCAAAACGGACTTATTAGCCCTTCTCAGCTAACGCTCCTTTGGGCTAGAAATTGCTTAGCAATACGTTAAGGTGACATCTGATATCTATAAGATCAAACTGACTTTATTGTGTTAGCTGTTTAAAAATTTTGTATAAAATTACAATCCTTACCCTCCATATCTGATCTCTTTATATGAATTAATTTAGTTAAATCATAATTTACCATTTATTAAGCGTAGTCCCCTCTAGTTCAGTTACGCAGCTGAAATGACGACGAACTAAGCTAGCTTATTTACAGTTCAGATTTAAATGAACAAATCAAGCAGAAGTTATAAAGATATTACTGATTTCCCGAGCAGAAAACATTTATTTGCATTGCGTTTATTTAAGAGCTCATAATTTACATTATGAAGTAAAAATAATTTCATCAACTTGAGTTATTTCGTCATATAAAGGCAATTTACTTTCATATATAAAATCAATTTAGTCAAGGTAATCAATTCAGCAATTGTAACTAACTATAATTTATTACCGAATTTAAGTAAATTTCGTAGCTTTATGAATTAATATGAAGAATTATTTCGTTTTGGCTAATCTTGTGGAAGATAAAGGGCAGTTTTATACCTTCTGTTAAACTGCGCCGATTAATGAAATTTAACTTGCGTTTTTTATATCTCCAAGGCTCGACATAGATTAGGTTTATATGTACTTTTTTTCTGATATAGGTCTTTCGACACGAAATCGGAATTCTTATGAAAAGAAAACGTTTTTTTTTTTCCGTATTTCGACTGCACGACTCAAATAATACCAAATTGCTAAGTTTTGTAAAACTCGTACTAGTAATTTTTAAAAAATTAGCTTTCCAAATTTTAGCTCTCAATGTTATTTGTAATATATTTATTAATATGTCTTCTTTTATTAAACTTAATTGATTCCTTCTTTCACACTTCGATATTTAGGTTCAAAAATAGATAAAATCAAATAAAATTTGCAGATATTCTCAGATTTATTTTTAAATTTGTATTTTAAGTAATTTTTTTATCAATTTTTAGGACTAAAAAAATAGTTGAATGATAGCCTATAAAAATTTTACCATCACTTTAAAGTAAATGTATTAAATATACCTGCAAAAAATTATAGTTTTTTATTCAATATTTTCTAAGTGAACTTATATATTGACGCGTTTTGAAATTTGGTATATGTGCTATAAGCAATACGCCAAATGTAGTTTACGAACTTTGTTAAAATTATTTGTCAGAATGGAGGATACACCGTTTTTCCCCACCATAAATTAAGAATTTCGCTAAGAGTATTTAAGCTAAGAGCATTCGCTAAGAGTATTCGCAGAAACTAAAAAAAGTTCGCCAAGATCAATTTTTAAATTTCTCCGTAAGTTTCTAATCAAACTTTACAAAATTTCATAATTAGATATAATATGAGTGTTAGAAACGAAATCTGTAAAATCAATCTGTATGGGATTTCAGAAAGCATCGGATTTTGCGTTAGAATGCCTATATTAAAAAATTGTTGTAGATAGATCATATATATCCTAGTTGCGCTTTCGAGACATAAAAAATGAAAATTAAATTTAGTCAATCGGCCCAGTAGAACGCAATTGTCCCTTTTTACTTCTTTGTACGAAGTAAAGGAAGTATTTTAATCAAGAAAAATGCCGTTAAGAATTTTATTTGGATGAATTTTACCAGCATCAAGAATTTTATGAAAATGCTGTTAACAAATTATTATTAACTTATTAAATTTTAAAAAGTTGTTTTACAAACAGAAATACAGTACAAAGTCCGTAATCCGGACGTCCATTATCCGGAATGATCTATAATCCGGATTTCAAAGCTACAAACTTTTTATGTATGCTTTACGCATGCACGTTGAATGCGCGCTTCCGATACTCATGCGTTTAGTAAAGAAAGTGACAAAGTGGCTTCCGACAGTGAAGAAAGGGATTGAAAACGAAAAAATTTCGATTGACAAGTTAGTCGGTATTCTCAACACAGCAATTACAGGACTTGAACAGTGGAGCTTTGTAACTGAACAAGAAATTATGTCTGTTTATAGAATTAAAGAGAAAGTATTAGCACAAAAAACGAAGCAACTTAAACAACTTACATTCAAAGAAATGTTTAAAAAAATAAACAAATAAATAGTAAGTTTTTTTTTTTTTTTTTTTTTTTTTTTTTTTTTTGTAAATTTTGATACCCTTTAGATGATAATTGTTCTTTATTTCATAAATTACGGTTTCATATTTTTAATTGTATAATTTCTGCATGCCATCTTACAAGATTTAAATTGATGATCTATAATCCGGAAAAACTTCTAATCCGGAATCGCCGAAGTCCCGACGAATCCAGATTACGGACTTTGTACTGCATATTATTTTTCATCTCACAACCATGACCTTCTATTTAAGAGAATATGTGTGACTAGCAGTTTCCAAAGACCTTATAACTAGCACAGCCCTTCCTTGACGACCAGAATTATTCTGAAGTCACTGTGTTCACTTTGTTAACGTCACGATCAGTATTGCATGACAACAGAACAAAACCTTTTAAATATAATGACTATATTCTGCATAATATTTGCACTAAAATTTTTGAAAAATATTGCTATTCTTCCTCGTTTCTGCAGGATGATGTCGTCAAACACCATTCTGTATTACATACTTGAAAGGGAGAACATTTATGGAAATATTTTCTCACAGATATTGCTTTTGTTGATGAACTTTCCATAAAGATATTTACAATTTTTTTATTCCCTTTTCTAGAGTACAAAGGATCTACATTTGCCTTGGACATCGTTACCATGCCGTCTGACCGCCCTTCAGGCAATACAACACATGCCACGGTTGTTATTACTGTAACTAATCATAGTTTTGCTTCTCCAGACTGCAGACCTCGAGACGAACTTTGCTTCTCTTCAGATGAAATTCAGTATTCATTATTCGAGACAACGCCACCAGGAACACTACTGGGAAGTCTAAGACCTCTGCCATACTCCAGGTTATGCCCTGATGCTGATGTACAGTACAACCTGTCTTTTGATGGTAATTTTTATGCTCCTTAGAATATAATCTTATATTATAGGAATGCATATTTCTAATGAATGTTGAATATTATAATTTTTTAAGCTAAGGTAAGTACGACTAGAATATCTAGAAGATATTACAGTAAAAATGCATGAAGGTTTCCTAAGAAGGTTGCATCTGTAAGTTTGATTATACAAATGCAGCTGGACTGGTTCTGGTACACGACATTTTTCAGGTTAGATTGATTTACCAGAATACGACGAAGCATAGGAGAGATATTAGAATAAGGGAAAGGATGCCTTCGTGGAGACCTTTCGAAGGGAAACTGGATGGTATTCACGCTACGCATTGCAAAAACAATGAAAATCAAACATGTAGCCAGCCCGTTTGATTCGGATCGAACCCAAGTCGAACCAGGTAAAATTCAGCGGTATTAACTGGAAGGGAACACTATTTTCTTTTTTTTTTTTTTTTTAAAGGGATTTTGAAATTCCGTAACATATTATTCTTGGTTATTTTTGGTAATGTTATAACGTATTTCTTCCGCCTTCTTAGCATGCCTTCGTGCTGTAATGGTCAGCACACTCGACGCGAATTCGAGAGTTTCGTGGTTTGAGTCCCAGCGAGGCCATTGCTCATTTTTCAGCTCTCCTGCTTCAAATAACCTAATGTCTCTACAGTGGCGCCCGAACTAAAAGGTGGTGAATGATGACTCTTCACCATCACGATTTATCGATTGGTTCCCATAAAACCCCAGTCGCCCTTTAAAAGCGGGTGTATGTAAGATATTTCTCCCGCCTTCGTAGCATGCCTTCGTGGTGTAGTGATCAGCACACTCGACGCGAATTCGAGAGTTCCGTGGTTCGAGTCCTGGCGAGGGCATTGCTCATTTTTCATCTCTCCTGCTTCAAATAACTTAATGTCTCTACAACCTAACATTAACCTGTCAGGACGTTAAGGGGGCTCATACACCTTAAACCCCTTATGATCTTCGAAGACGTGACTGTTGCAAGAATTGGGATATTTTATTTATTTGAAAAGCAATTATTTCCAACTCTTCACAGCTGACTACATAATATAGCTGCTTTGTGAACTACTAACCAGAAAATTTGTGTTGCCACAAATATTTTTGTAATTTAATCCGCTTTGGGATAAAACTTTTCGTCAGGTTTCCACCTTGCGCGCATGATATTTTAAAAATAGCTAATGGTGCATACTTGAAATTTGATGGAATTCTTTATATGGATACTATTTTCTAACTGAACCCAAAATCTGATGAAAATTTTAATATTAAAAATTTTATTCAAGAAACATTAAATTTTTTTTTATTAAAATACATTTTATAACCAAATCTAAATAAATACAAATTTAACACGAATTCTTAGGATTTTTTGGTCACGGTAGTTCCAAATGTTATAAAGCTATATATTAAAATATAAGAATTAAATTACGCAACAGAATGTTTTAAACTGTTCGCGCAAGGTGGAAACATGACGAAAGGTTTTATCACAAAGCGGGTTAAATTATAGAAATATTTGTGGCAACACAAATTTTCTGATTACTATTTCAGAAAGCAGCTGAAATTGTGTAGTCAGCTGTAAAAAGTTGGAAGTAATTGCTTTTAAAATAAATACGTTATCTCAATTTTTGCAATAGTCACAAATTCAAAGATCGTATGGGTTTTAAGGTGTACGAGTCCCCTTGAAAACCCAATGCTATAAATGTGAATGAGATGTTATTTGAGACTTACTGTGAGATACATTATACGGAATACTAAAGACCTGCTACTAGTATATAGCGGACTCTGAAGCCTCAAGTCTGCTGAAAGAAGCTGTGAGCTTCATTCACACAAAGATAAATCTTGTTTTAAACTTCCCGAATATGTTACGTAATGTTGTTAAACGTGTTTTGGGGCAAATTCTAGAGTTTTTCTCTAAATTAATCGAGAAATTCAAATAGTTCCTGCTCACAAAGCATCTCTGTAAATGTTAGTGAGTGGAAAGAAAATGAATTCTGGTAAGTTCTTTCGGGAAGACTGAAAAACATTAATCGGGTCAGATCAGCAGATTTTATAGCCCAAAAGTACAGAAACACCTTTTATTTATCGTTTTTCTTCCCGTGCGCTTCCATTAACATTTTCATGAATTAATGAACTTTCTTGAATCATTACTAAAGTTTTGTAAATTTAGCTGTTTCTTCTTTTGTTTTGTTCGACAAAATTTCTTCCAAGTCCCGAAAATATGTATTAGATAACAGAAATTTTAATTTAAATTCTATTTAACAAAATATTTGGTATATAACTTTATAACGTAGTAACCTACAATGCACAAAATGGAAGTCAGAAGCCGGCGTATATTAAAATTCGAACCATCATAAGTAAACATGTTCAAATAGCAGATAGAAGACCATCAATAGAGCAACCGCACCGTCATTTAGACTTCCGGAGGTTTTTCTGCGCTATTGATGGGGACTACAGTGGATGGACAAAAATATGGAAACACCTTGTGAAATGCATGTTTGATAAGAAAGATTGATTTTAATGAAATATGTAGGTGGCGCTGGCGTTTTTGACTACTGACGCCACCTATACAACTTCGTAAAATGTGGGGTAAACAGTTCATTGTTGTCGGAAGTACTGTTTATGTGAGGTTGTCATTGCATTATGTCAGAGTTAACAGACTTCGAACGTGGGCAAATTGTTGGAGCACGTATGGTAGGTGCTTCCGTAAGCAAGGTAGCCGAGGTGTTTTGTGTTTCAAAGAGGTACTGTATCGAAGATTTATTCCGCATATTTAAAAAAGCGGAAAAAACAAAAGCTCATCTTAAATCACAGCGCGGACGAAAGTGTGTCCTGAGTGATCGTGACAGACGATCATTAAGTGCAATTGTGAGAAAAATAAGAAGACCACAGCTGCAAAAATTACTGCTGAAATGAATGTTGTTACCGAACCCTGTGAGTACCAAAACAATTAGAAGGAAGCTTCATAAACAGGGAATTGCTGGCCGTGCTGCAATTGAGAAGCCACTCTCAGTGATGCTAATGTCCGTAACAGGAAAGGTGGCGTTTAAGTCATAAAGCCTGGACTATAGAGCAGTGGAAGCGAAGTAATATGTCTGACGAGCCTTTTCACATTGTTTCCCACTTATGGCAGAGTTTACGTCTGGGAACGCCATCTCAAGCCTATAATACAGACTGCTTGTTGCCAAGGTGAAAACATGGCGGGGGTTCTGTATGGTTGGGCAGCCATATCGTGGTTCTCTGCTAGCCCCATGATAACTGTTGTCAGGGCACATGACTGCCAAGACTTATGTGAACATTTTGGCGATCAAGTTCATCCCATGGTACAAACTTTGTTCCCGATGGTGATGGTGTCTCCCAGAAAACAAAGCCCCTGTTCCACACAGCTCACATTGTCCAGGACTGGTTTTCTGAGCACGAGGATGAGTTGTCCCATCTCCCCTGGCCACCACAGTCACCAGACCTGAATATTATCGAACCTTTGTGGTCTACATTGGAAACGCAAAGTGCGTTCTCGTTATCCACCGCCACATCGTTATCTGGAATTGCACCGTTTTGCAGGGAAGAATGGTATAATATTCCCTTGGCAAACATACAGGAACTGTATTTATCCATTCCGAGAAGACTGCAAGCTGTTTTGGATGCCAACGGGTTTTCCCTAACCATATTAAGCAAAAGAAACAAATAAAAACAAATATTAAAGGTGTTTCCATATTTTTGTCCAACCCCTGTATCTACCATCTGCAGCTCAGCGGCATTTATTAAAACTGTTTAGTGTACATATTACGCTACAATTGGTTAATGTACAAAACATAAGTAATTAGAAATGTTAAATACATAATATAACTTTCAACTTAGATAACTTTTAAAATAAAAATATAAATAAAATATAAAGTCTATGTAGAAGTATGTAAAAGACCATATGTAGAAGTTCATATCTTGTAGAATGTTCATATGTAGAGTATCCATACGTATAATGTCTATGTGTAGTTAAATTAATAAAGTAATAAAATAAAAAACATAAAGGTCTATGTAGTAGTCCATATGATTATATGTAGAAGTCCATGTATTGAAGATAGTGAAAGAATGTCTACATGTACAATGTCCATGTGTAGAAGTCCTTAGTTTAACAATAATGCTAATTAGATCAGAATTTTCTTGTTCAATCATTTTTATGGAGCTTTAAAATTTTCACAGTTGATGGATAAATAGTTTATGGATATTTTGAAGTTTCTTGCGAAGGGAGTTGCTTTTTAGTGTTTGTCTGAACCAGAGTTGTGCTGATGTTATGGTGAATGGTTTGAGGTGAAGATGCTTTGTGATTTCGCAGTTACGGAGGTAGTGATCAAGAGTGCCATTGAGTCCGGAGATATATAGATTTGAGTGATGAAGACCGAATCTGTTAAGACATTCTGGAAAAGGACCATGTGAGGTTAGAAAGATGGTGATTGCTCTATTGGAGGGTAATAACTTTCTTGAGGGTACAGGTAGAAATAGGAAAATTCTTCTACTTGCACTTTCCAATGTCCATTACTGTTTCCAGAGGTCAAGTAGATTTTTTTCTAGTTTATTGTTTAAGTAAAATAAAGGATTTGGAAGGAAATATTCAGGTAAAGACGGATTATTAGCTGCATATTTGGTTAGTTCGTCAGCTATTTCATTTCCTATTGTAACAGCTTGGGCTTTTGTCCATTTGAATTTGGGTAGTACGTTGTGAGGAAAGTGAGAAAGAAGAATACTTTCTATTTGCCGCCCAGACGGCCTACCGGTTAGTGAAGTCGACTGTGATACCGAAGGGCCCGATTTCGAATCCCACTGCAGGCATGGATGTTTGTGTGTGTATAATGTCTTTGCGACATGGGGGCACTTAAATATACGGCGAGCCGAAAGTTCTCTCGTGTGGTTTGTGGTAGGGAAAGAGAGGTGGGAGACTCTCGAACCAGCTTCTGTGGTGCTTTTCTTCGACACTGGCGTCGAAGTAGAAGTCCAACCTCGTTGA